ATACACAAACATGGTGACCAATATCGGAACTTTAGAAATATGGTGACCATTATCTTAAAAGACAAAGTACATTGTTGATAACTGTGTTATGAATTAATATAGTATATTAATAATAGCCAACTCTATATCTATCGGTAAAACTGATATAACTAAATATGAAACAAAAATTGACAAAATTTTATAATTGGTCCTTATAGTTTGCAAAATATCTCACTTTGAGGACTTTCATGGAAAACGTCACGCCACTGGTCCCTGTGGTTTGCAAAATTAGATGAAAAGGTCCTAATGCTGTTAAATCTAACTTTTCAGCTGTTAGATTTTAATGAAAAAGATTATTTTACCCTTGTACCAAATTTGCAATATACTACAAACCTCAAGGACAATTTGAATAATTTTGTAAATTTAAAATTTTGTATATATATAATTTATAAATATAAATTTTATATATATATATATATATATATATATATATATATATATATATATATAGTTATTTATAGTTATTTAAAGTTTTTCTAAATTTTTTCTTAAACGATTCACAAATAAGAAAAATTAAAGAAAAAACGGTTTCGACATGGTTTATCGAATTTAACTTTATTTACTTGAATCAAAATAAATAAAAACATTAAAAAAACCATAAAAACTAAAATTATAAAATAAAAATAGAAAACAAAATGTTAAAAAGATTATAAATAAAGTTATCAAATTGTTGAAATTATATATATATATATATATATATATATATATATATATATATATATATATTTACAAAATTATGCAAATGGTCATTGAGGTTTGTATGTATATTGCAAATTTGGTCCAAGGGTAAAATAGTATTTTTCAATAAAATCTAACAGTTGAAAAGTTAAATTTAACGGCAGGAGGACCTTCCATGTAATTTTGCAAACCACATGGACAGTGGAGCGACGTTTTCCATGAAAGTCCTCAAAATGAGATATTTTGCAAACCACAGGGACCAAATATGAAATTTTGTCTAAAAAATTTGTTCATGGGCACACTTTGGACAAAAATAAATAATGAAAGACTAAAGTGTCACTTACTAATGTGTGGACTTTCCAACTTTTTCCTTTGATTGTACTATATATTTATTTATTTTATATAAAGTATTACACTAATTTTAATACGTCTCATATGAATAATATTTGAATATATTATATATTACTATCAGGTGAGGTTGGTTTAGGATCGAGGAGTATCCCCATCCCCTATGATTCTGGCATAATTTGTAGTGATTGATGAATTATTAATGTTGATGTTACAGAAATCAATATCAAGTTGAATAGACTTAGCATATTTCTTATATATGGTGAAATTAACATATATTCCTAGTTGATTTATATGTTTTTGTGTTTGTGGTATTTCTTGTAAACATCATTTGGAGAAGGAACTAGCTATAAAGTCGTACCATAAATATATACTTTGACAATGGAATAAATATTGGTTCACTCGTGGTTGACGATTTTTGAAGTATGAGCGCCAGGCCACTAATGTGATCGATTACTCTAAATCCAATACAATGGGACTTAAAGTTTTTTCTCTAATCGTTGTAGTTAAGGTGTTTAATATCAAGAACAAAGGAATGAATGCCTTGATATCAGTGTGTTAGAATCGAGACACTTAACACACGACTCTAAACACACACACAGCTCACGAAAAACAAGAACACAAGGATGAACATGAGAGATTTAACGTGGTTCGGTCATTCTCTGACCTACGTCCACCGGTAACTAGGAATTTACATTTCTTGGTGCTAATCTGCACTCTTTTCTTTGTTACACTAGATACGAGTTTTACAAATACAGAATAATCTCTTATATAGAGATGGAAATCAGAAGTAGTCAAAAAACACAACTGGGTCTTCATTCAACAATTGTGGCTTCACAACTTCACATTGTTCCTGCCATTTTTGACCAGCTTTTCTGTGGATTCACACTCAACATTTCTGTGGATTCACACTCAACATTTCTGTGGATTCATACTCAACAATCTCCCACTTGAAGCCACGGAACAATCTTCACCTGTGCTTCAACTGTGCATCTGTATTTGATCTTAACTCCTTCCTAGTTACCCTGGCCTTCTCTTCAATTAACCTGAAGGCCAGTTGAAGCTTTCGTTAGCTCCAACACATCAGTCATGGCTAAGTCTGCCACTGACCTGTTCTCTGTCTCCATCGGCTCCCACTGAAATGAACTGCCCGATCCTGGAACATCCTGAGAACAAACGACACTCTCCATGTGAAGCAGATAATCTGGAGAGACTTTTACAGATGGAATACTGGTTCTCTTAACCCACTGTGTTCTGGGTATTCTAGCTGAAACAAAGCCCATGCTCCTACTGCTATGAATGCCCTTGACTGGTTTTTCTGAACCGTTCCAAAACACGTTCAACCTGAATCTGACCTGTGACTCTGGGTTTGTCATCTGCAAAGCAAACCTTCTTCTGTCCACGAGACTCTATGAACCGGATTTTGTTTTTCTTCTGAACTGGGACGGTTACTCCCTCAGACGGTAAACTGACCATATATAATGAACCCCTCTTATGTCCACGAGCTATCACAAGATTTCTTTTGACAACCTTCCACTGCCCATTCCTGAACTTAACCTCGTGTCCCTGTTCATCCAACTGCCCAACAGAAATCAACTGTTTCTTCAGACTTGGAATTACCCGGACATCCTTCAAAGTCCATGGACCGACTGGAGTCTTCAGATCTAAGTCACCTATGCTCGTCACATCAAGAACCTCATCGTTCGCCAGTCTTACCTTACCAAAATCCCCTTCTTTCAGATTCCGCAGTGCTTCACGGCTGTGGGTAGCGTGAAATGAAGCACCCGAATCCATAACCCAGGAATCCACATTGCTCTCCACACTACAGATCAAAACATCATCATCTGAATGGTCTACTGCAACGTTAACTTCTTTCTTGTCTTTTGGACATTGATTCCTTAAATGTCCAACCTCTTTACAGTTCCAACAAGTCACATCATTTCGAGTCCTCGACTGACTCTTTCTCCTGTTCCCGCTCCCACTACCTCTGTTATTTCTTCTACCTCTGACCGCATTCAATTGTTCACTTGATGATTCCCTGGAATTTCTTCGTCTGACGTCTTCGCCTAGAATTAAATCCCGAATTCCCTCAAAAGTGAGCTCTTTCGATCCTGCGGAACTAGTAACGACTGTAACTGTTCCGGACAAACTGTCAGGTAATGATGATAACAGTAGTAAAGCTTGAACTTCGTCCTCAAATTTTATTCCCACTGACCCAAGTCTGGATAAAACCGAGTTCAAATTGTTGATGTGTACTGTAATTGAACTTCCTTCCCTCATCCTCGTGTTGACTAGTTCCCGAATCAGGAAGACTTTATTTGCTGCCGACGGCTTCTCGTACATATTAGACAATGCCTCCATGATTCCCTTTGCCGAGGTCTCCTTCAAAATGTTGAAGGCAACATCCTTTGACAAAGTCAGTCTAATAAATGTCTTGGCCTTCTTATCCAAAGTCTCCCAGTTTGCTTGTGTGATCGCCTCCGGTTTTTCACCTAAAACTGCGTCCAAGTCTTTATGTACGAGCAAATCTTCAATTTGCATCTTCCACCAACCAAAATCTTTCCCATCAAACTTCTCAATCTGAAGCTTACTGCTTTCTGCCATTTTCTGAAAAATTAGGGGCTAAACTGCAATTTTCTGAAAGTTCAGGGGCTAAACTGCAATTTTCTGAAAGTTCAGGGGCTAAACTGCAATTTTTCAAATCTGCTACAGTGTTGCTACAGTGTTGCTACAATGTCGTCTTCTCCGGCAGATCTCCGGTCTACAGTGTCGTCTTCTCCGGCGGAACTCCGGTCTACAGTGTCGTCTTCTCCGGCCAAACTGGTTTTTCCGGTCACTATTCTGGTAACCTTTGACCGGCGATTTGGACGTCTTCCGGTGGTCAAAAAATTCAGAAAAAAATATATTAGGAATCTTCGGAACGAGACCTTTCCAACGGTATACACCAAAATCGTTTTTGACGAAAAAAAATTTCGACCAAAAACTTAAAATCACCTTCTGGAGCTACAACCTTGCTCTGATACCACTTGTTAGGATCGAGACACTTAACACACGACTCTAAACACACACACAGCTCACGAAAAACAAGAACACAAGGATGAACATGAGGGATTTAACGTGGTTCGGTCCTTCTCTGACCTACGTCCACCGGTAACTAGGAATTTACATTTCTTGGTGCTAATCTGCACTCTTTCTTTGTTACACTAGATACGAGTTTTACAAATACAGAATAATCTCTTATATAGAGATGGAAATCAGAAGTAGTCAAAAAACACAACTGGGTCTTCATTCAACAATTGTGGCTTCACAACTTCACATTGTTCCTGCCATTTTTGACCAGCTTTTCTGTGGATTCACACTCAACATTTCTGTGGATTCATACTCAACACAGTGATGTTGTAAGGGTATTAGATAAGAAATGAGGGGAATGTTCATCAATGGTCATTAAAAGCCAAAGAAGAGGTAGACAAAGGTAGGGAAAGGCACATTTAAGGAAAGGGAAGCAAGGATTTAGGAGGATCGATGTGATACCATATTGAACGATAAGTGTCTTGTGAAATATATATTCCATTGATAATCAATATATACAAAATACAAGATGGCTAAAGGGCTAAAATATTTGTGAGATGTAGTATAGGTACGTAGTACTTTTAATTATAGATATAATGTAACTAAGGTGCGAGTCTTCTTACTCATAATGTATCCTTACCCAAAAAGCAAGCATAGCATAGTATAAAACAAACCAACATAGAAACAAAGAAAAAAAACATGATCTCCTGAGATTACAAAGCACCAACATATATTATTATAGATAGTGTATCATGTACATAAGCATGACTCCTCATCATGATGGTTAAATCAAGCATTTCTTAGGCACCAAGATGAACATATATATTTTATTTCAAGTACAATACGATCCAACATGCATACAACTTTCAACGAAAAGAACTATGTGAAGCTGGAATTAGGGGTGAGTGGCAAAAGGCTATACTCCATGGAAATGTGTTGCCTTTTGGAAGTTGGGGGATGTTTTGAGTGTAATTGCTAGAGTTTAGGTCAAATATCTCTGGAGACATTACATCATCATCGATAAACACAACCCTGGCCCTCTTTGTAGGTGGAGATTCTAGGCTAGACCTGATCATATGGCATGTGTCGCCTTCAGAATCAGAATCAAAATCCTTGATGATGGATTCAAACTCATCACAAAGGGAAGGAAGAGATATAATCGAGATTGGTTTTCTGGATTTGACAATGGTTGGCCTTGTTTTGTATTCTTGTGCAACTCTCTCTAAAAATCTCGATTGTGCTTCAATTTTGACCTTCAGACTCTTTTGAACCTATAAAAAAACAAAAGAATAATGAAATATTACTTGGAGGGCGGTCCAAACATATTTGGGGCCTTCTCCAAACACAAACATGACCACTTAAAGTTATCAAAATGTACATGAACACTTAGTTTTAGTTTATATTTTAGAAAAACAAATAACTGAAATTTATGTATAAAAACTAGATTGATATATAAATGAATCACAACGAATTTAAATAAAATTTTGAAAACAATAAGACATTGTTAGGATGAACTCAAGCCAGTAATGTGAAAATCAAAATTCTAATCAAATAAACTACACTTAATTTATAGTTTCGTTATATATATATATATATATATATATATATATATATATATATATATATATATATATATATATATATATATATATATATATATATATATTTCTTGAATAAGAAGAACGTAGTTTCTTGAAATATATTTTTATATACATGAAACCCAATCAGTGAAGTTTGGCGAAAATTTGTTACTATAAGGGCTTGAAGACTAGTAGTATAGGTTAACAAAGGTCTAGCCAACACGTTACAACAAATTTTCCTTGTAAAAGGAGGCATCTGTTTTTTTAGCTATGTGCAATCACACACCCTTATATTCTTTAGGATGATCTTTCTCATTAAACTTTAGTTTGATAGTCTGTACTAGGATTTCTTGTCATATATTTTAGATCCACTAGATCTCAAAACTATCATAACGACACAAATCATGACAAAACTATTAGTAACCTACTACCAATGACCCATAAAAGGGTTTGTAATCCCATAATAATTTTCTAAATACATGGAAACAAGGGATTTGAATGTATAACCTCTAACAAGCTTACCTCAAGTTGATCGTTCAAACGTCTTTGGACTTCCATTTGCATCTCTAATGCTTCGTTTAGCTGGAGGCCCCTAAACATGAAGGAGATGCTTGTTAGATGAATAGAATTTCGTAAATATGCATTTGTGTTTTTTCATGGTGATCAATTTTCAAAGGCATCCCATCCCTTAGCGACAGGACAATATATGCACATGCCTGAATTTTTCTTCTAATCCTATTTTTCATAGTCAACAAATATAATAAAAATAGAATCAATAACTAATATTAAATACTTAATAAAGAAAATTAGCTTCCCTTTAAAAAAAGGCAGGTTGCATGAGCTAATGAATTAAAGACAAATGTAAGGAGTAATTGGGGGTGTAAGGGCAAGAATGAAGCCACTAAGAGAGGTACCATATTTAATTGGTGGAAAAACCTCGACATTTGTATTTATGAACTTTCCTAGAGACAAATTTGAGGAAGAACTATAGAGATTGTTCAATAATCATGGTGACATTGCAGATGTCTTTATCTCTAGTAAGAGAAACCGGGTAGGAAAAAAGTTTAATTTTGTTAGATTTCTTGATGTTACACACCTTGGGAGGCTTGAAAGTCAACTGAACAACATTAGGATGTGACACGTTTGCCTTTAGGTTAACCTTGCAGAATAGGAGAAAGGTGGATGCTCATAATACATGGAAAGGGAATATGTCAAATAAGGCTAAAGTTGCACACCTATTATTACGTAGTACAATGGCTAGCAATGATGAAAAGAATGTTATCATATCTTATGATGAGGCTATTTCAGACATGAGTGTCAAATAGGTGGATGAAAAACTGAAGGGAATGAAAATAATGAAGTAGAGAACGACGATGATATCCCATGCATCATCCTTAATACATCTAATTATATAAAACATACATGGAGAACACATTGATTAATGAGGAAGTAAGGAACAAAGGAACTACGTCATGCTTAATAATATTCACTTATTTGACATGACACAAGGACTATAGTATGTGAAGCTAAGCTATAGTGGAGGGCTTATAGTGTATCTTGCATTCAAGGATAAAGCAATGGAGAAGGCATTTTTGTCCATAGTGTATTGGTGGGAACTTGAACTTGCTCAGGTTGCCATTTTTTTAATAATTGGCATGGTGCCAAAGGTTGGAATTTGGTTAGGCATTTTATAAAATGAAAAGGCTTTAGGGGAAGTGATTAATCCAACATGTCACTCCAGGGATATGAGAAATCATGACATGGTGAGAGTTGGCATATTGACTTCTGAACTTAACTAGATTAGAAGGAAGGTCGATATGTAAATCAATGGAGTGTTACACATGTTTATGGTCATCGAGGAGGTGGGTGACTATTTAGATTTCATTCTGAAGATTGATAGAAATGGGACTCCAAATCTAATAACCAAAATGAGAATTTTATCTATGAGGAAGATGACCACATTGATCTAGTTAATGATGAGGTGTTACCGATGAAGGAAGTAGTGGCTACACTAATGGTGATGAGGTTTCCATGGATGAATAATGGAGAATTTGGGTGCCACACATACATGCTTGGTGGGAGTAACACAAGCATGGGGTGCATGATAAACGTCAATTAATAGATAATTCTAATCAGGGTGAATCATCTGGTAATAAGGTCCTGGAGTTCTTGGAGTTAGATCCAGTTGTGAATGATAATGAGGCATTTCAATCTGGCATATCTTATTCTAATTATGTGAGTGTAAACCTGACTTGGGTGTAAACCTAACATGGGTAGGTGTACAAGCATCTATATTGACAATAAGATCTACAAATGGCAACTTCTTCATTTCATACGGTGAACATAATAAATAACTACAATAATTTTAGTGGTTCGTTTAGGTATAAACAAAGGCTCTAACTTCACTTATAGAGCACCACAAAAACATAGAGAGGTAGAGAGTAATACTTGGAGTAAGTATTAGTATTAGAGGGTTGTTTTCTTTCCTTGTAATATTAAGCGTGTAAGCTCCTCCTTTTGTTTTGGTTTGAATAAAAGTGTCTTTCAACCCCAAAAAGTGGTATCAAAGCTTTGTTAAGCTCCAAGGGCTCGTTCTCAGTTTTTTGGTCAAATTTTTTTTGTCCCATATATGGTTTTTGTGTACACCGTGGGAAAGGTCTCATTTTGACGGTTCTAAAAATCTATATATTATATATATATATATATATATATATATATATATATATATATATATATATATATATATATATTGAATTCATCGACCATCAGAAGGTCTCTAAATCGTCAGTCAAAGTTGGTCAAAGTATCACTGGAAAGTTGGCCGAAAAAACCAGTCTGCCGGAGAACTCGCCGGAGAAGAAGGCTGACATCAGTAGGGACGTCGGCAGCTGACCAAACTTCTAGAAATTGCAGTTTGGCCCCTACTTTTTACAAAAATTACATTTTTTATCCTCGTTTTTTAGAAAAAAATCATTTTACCCCTTTTACTTCTATAAAAGTTATTTTTGGCCCCCATGAACTTCTAAAAAGTTCATATTGATCCCCATACTTTTAGAAAAAAGTTACAAGGTTGTGTATGCCCAAGTAGATGCCAAGAATGACTACACCAACCTCATCGTCTTCTCAACCCGAAGTTGAAAATGTTCAAAGGACTGGGAAAAATGCTAATGTTATGTTACACTATCCAATGCTCACGAAGATGAACTATGCAGTGTGGGCTATAAAAATGTGAGTGAAGTTACAAGCAGAAGGAGTATGGGATGTAATTCAAAATGTAGAAAGGGACACACATAAAGATCGGATGGTTCTTGCATCTATTTATCAAGTAATTCTAGAGGATGTACTTCTGATGTTAGCTGAGAAGGATACATCCAAAGAAGCATGGTAAATGCTTAAGACGATGTACATGCGAGCAAATCGGGTCAAGGAAGCCAAAGCTCAACCTTGAGAAGTGACTTTGAGGTGGTGTGGATAAAAGACAGTGAATCGATGGATGATTTTTCCATGAGATCGAATACTATTGTGAATAGTATTTAATCTGTAGATGAAAAGTTCGAGGAAATTATGGTGGTGAAGAAGTTCCTTTGATCCATACCGATACAATTTATACAAATCGTAACATCTATCAAGAAATTCGAAGATCTTAAAAATATGACGATCAAAGAGGTTGTGGGTCGTCTCAAGATCCATGAAGAGAAAATTTGAAGTTATGGAGAAAAAGAAATAGGACCTTCTCTATTGCTTACACATTCCAAGTGGTTATCTCGTTCCAAGCAAGCTGGCGATAGAAACATGTCAAACACTTCAAAGGGACGAGGAGGACATGGTAACCGAGGCTGGGGATGAGGCTGAGGTCGTGATCGTAGGCGAGGAGGTGTTCGTGAGTCCAATACAAACTGGAATGGCCACAATCCTCCTCGTAAAATCAAATGTTTTTCTTGTGAATAATTTAGTTACTATGCGTCGGAGTGCTCGAACAAGAATCGAGGTGAAGAGGTGAACCTCATTCAAGCCAATGAAGAAGATCCAATTTTGATGGTGGCAGTCTCACAAGAATATACACACAAAAATGTGTCTCTAAGAGAGAAGATTTGTGTTAATCTTCTTACATGGGGAGAAAGTCGAGTCAAGTTTGGTATCTCGACAACGGTGCTACTAATCATATGACTGGAGACCACTCAAAGTTCCGCGAGCTAGATGAGCACATTACGGGTAATGTGAGTTTTGAGGATGGTTCACCCGTCACTATTTTGGGAAAAGGTTTGATTTTATTTGATAGAAAAAATGGTGACCAAAGACTCCTTAACGAGGTATATTTCATTCCATGTCTAAAATACAATATTATTAGTCCTTGGACAAATAACGGAGGAAGGGAGTTGATTCATAATGGATGGCCGTTGGATCTGATATTGTTTGACAGAAACAAAACTCTACTTTTGAGAGTTAAATGATCCCCAATCCGGTTATATGAAACTCATTTAAGGACCAGTAGATCGACTTATCTTTTAGCAACAAAATACGAACCAACTTGGATATGGTGTTCTAGACTCAGTTATGTTAACTTTCTCGCCTTAAAGAAGTTATCCGAAAAGAATATGGCAACTGAAGTCCCAAAGATTGAGCACCCAAACCAAGTATGTGAAGGGTGTGTTCTTACTAAACAAACCTGAATTCCTTTCCCATATCATGCGACTATTCGAGCTCAAAAACCTCTACAACTTTTTCATACGTACTTGTGTGGTCCAATCACACCTACATCTATTGGAGGGAGTAAATATTTTCTCCTTTTAGTAGACGATTTTAGCTTGTGGATATGGGTTTACATACTATCAGGGAAGCTTGAAGCCTTGAGCGCTATCAAAAGGTTCAAGTTGATGGTTGAAAAGAATTAGAGTTATCAAATGAACTCACTCCGAATGGACGAGGGGGAGAGTTCACTTCAAAAAAATTCTCATTTTTTTAGAAGAAAATGGTATTCAAATACATTTTACGACACCATATTCGCCTCAACAAATTGAAGTTGTAGAAAGGAGAAATAAGTCTGTTATGAACATGGAAAGAAGTCTTCTCAAAGGAAGATATGTCCCAGGAGAGTTTTGGGGAGAATCGGCTAGACATGTCGTTTATCTTCTCAACTTCCTACTAAAAAAGAACTTCTGACATGACGCCTTATGAAGCTTGGTATAGCAAAAAGCCCAACCTTGAACATCTAAAAGTTTTTGGTTGTGCTTCTTTTGCTAAACTTGTAGGTGGTTAATTAAAGAAGCTTGATGATCAAAGTAAAAAAGATGGTTTATTTAGTTGTAGAAGATGGAACTAAAGGAAACCGTTTATTTTAACAGCAAGACCGGAAGTTGCAAGTTAGTCGCGATGTTGTTTTGAAGAAAAAGAATAATGAAATTAGTATAAAAACAAAGAAGAAGATATGGCAAATCGTAAGACCTTTACAATAATTGAACCACAACCTCAAATACACCTTGAAATACCCCAAAACAACCCTGAAACCAACCTATATCAACTAGACAACCCCGAAATCGATGCTATCAAAATTAGAGAACCATATGGTGTATTTGATCAGCCCAAATCAGCCCCAAATACTT